CGTAGTAGGAATGCTAAGGGCTTGTGACGTGTATCTAATGGCTGTTCTTCATACGAGCCTTTCCTTTGCATTGTAGGGCTCTGCGCGCTCTCGTCTTTCGTTTGCCTAGTCTCTCCCGCGAACGTGTCTTCTCTTGCACCGTCTCTTCGCCTACTCGTCCAGTGCTCGAAGCAAAGTTGGGGTCTCATTCAGAGAGTTTCCGGCAGTTTCTTCTGCTTTTTTCTTCATCGGTAATCACACTCGTGTTTACCTCTTCGATTTTGAAGCGTTCTTCTTGGGACAACTCAACTGGAGAATGTGTCTTGAAAGGCAAAGTCCGCGATCGTTCGCCATCAGATAGTGGAATGTAGGTTTGCATATAGACCATAAGGTTCTGAGGAACTCGATAGTGAAGAAAAAACATGCCAACTGCTCCTAGATAGAACCCCATCCCGATCTCAGTTTGTACGTGCCCAATGAACTCCATCTCCAACGCTACGCCCTAATCCGCAGAGCTGATTCCCGGTTCACGGCAAGGCGAGCCTTGAAGGCGGAGTCTGGAGGCGGAGTCACTGGAAAAAAGGAGGCGTCACTGAACCTGTATTGCGCTATAGCGCCCCTCCCTTACAATTTTTTTGCCACAAAACCGGTACAAGGTTTCGACGCGCACCATCCTACCCTCCCGATACCATATTTGCAACATCTATACCTGATCGCGGACCGTACCTTCGAGTAGGAGGTCTCATTCTTACCAGAGCCTTGTAAATTAGATAGTGACACAAATATGTAGCAGATCAGATGCTGGTCTTCGTCTGTTATGGTAAATGTAGTGGTGCGCTCTGAGAAACATTTTTGCTTCGTCAAGATTCGAGTCGTAGTTATTTCATTACTAAATTTTCGCTGCTTTTGAAGGTGCCGGATTCTATGTCGATGCTACTGAGAAGCCGTGGTCAGATCACTACAAAATGTACAGTTACGTCTGCAAGGAGCTTCCAGAAATTGTCAAAAATCAGCTTCCGGTTGACACTTCAAAATTAGGTCGGCTTCTGACTTTTTGTAAGGCGTTTATTAAGTCAGTCAGATTTCCGCAATTAGTGGCTTCCTGAAATTTGCTTGGTCTATGCCATATAGATTTTATATTTCATTTGGTTTTCTAGGAATTTTCGGACACAGCATGGGAGGTCACGGTGCAATCTCAATTGGTCTGAAACATCCCGACTTGTTCAAATCGATCTCAGCTTTTGCTCCCATCTGCCATCCTATAAATTGTCCTTGGGGCCAGAAAGCACTGAAGAATTACCTTGGTTAGTTGAATAACTTCATTCATTGTGAAACTGATAGTACTGAATAGTTAGACAGGTGCTGATACCAAAGCATGGGAACAGTACGATTCATCCTTGCTGTTGAAAACCTACAACGGCCCATCAAGGAAGATACTTGTCGACCAGGTTAGAGCATTATGTGGTCATATCAATATATGTTTTGAGTACTTATACCATTTCGAACGGAGTGGGGTCAAAAACCTACGAAGAAAGAGCCTCCGTTCTCAATGACTTAAAAATCGATTTTGGACGAGTTTCCCGTAGGCATCTTGCCAATAACCGCTACCGAAGGTACTGCATATGTGTACTCATATATCCATGCAGCATCACGGCCGCTTCATACCAATATTTACTTAGCAAATGAAGCAGTACGAGCGTCAGGAACGGTCGTCCATTTGTGGGCGGGCGGGCGTGGCGCGTTCGGGTCGGGATGTTGTAGCTTTATAGGGCCCTTAATCTCACCTTCCTCGGGAAAGGCGCTATGCAGCGCCTGCTCAGGGTCGCGGAATTCCGTCCTGCCAGGCGTATTAATCCTACTCGCCTTGGGGATTTATCGTGCCAACTGCCTTTAATGGCGGTGAAGAGTAGGGGAAGGGGAGGGGAGGGTGTACCAATGACGTTCCGCCCGCCCATCATCGAATTGTGTCCTTAATTCTTTGTTCTCTCTTATTGTCAACTGTGTTTGAACGACTTCAGGGCGCTAGCGACTCATTTCTGTCAGATGGGCAACTTCAGCCGGAAACGCTGAAGTCGACTGGTCCAGTATCAGTGGAAGTGAGGACACAACCCGGATACGATCACAGTTACTACTTCATAGCCACATTTATTGGAGATCATTTTGATTTTCACGCTGCTGCATTGAAACAGTAGGATTTCTTGTGATATCTTCCATGTCAAGGGCAGGTAAATGCATACTCACCTGGTAGTTTTAACAACAAGCAGCTTTGTTGGCTTTTATGATACTAAACTAACCGCTGTTGCTTCGCCTGTTTCTAACTTTCATATACGATGACAGGCTCTCGCGCCTGCGTTTTATCCATATCGTTGTGTTCGAAATTGCCATCTTTTCAATCTGCTTCATTTTATGTATGTTTATTTGTTTTAATTTATAATAAATATATTAAACCGCATGTGACAGTCTGCAAAAACCAAAGGAAGAAATGCCGAAATACAATACTAGACTCCGTACCTCGGACATGGACAGGGCGTGGCTGCGTACCTCACTTGATCGTGGCGGCTGCTAAGCCTCTGGATGGCCGTTAGCTTTCTGGGATGTTGAATCATGTTTCTAACAAGCACAGGGCAGAATGACGTTGCCAAAAAGCGAAGGATCTCCGAAACGCATTCCACGCCATGTTCAAATAAAGTGTGCAGCCACGCCCTTCCTATCTCACAGTCAGAACTGTGCGATACGAGTACGATGCGACCCCGTCAAAGCCGTTCTCTGCCTTCTTGTTGAAGCGCGCATGCGACAAAAAGTGGTAGAAAACGAGTAATACGAACGATATGATACAGTCATATCATTTGCTCGCTTTAACAACTGGTGGAGAACGGGTTTGGCACCGCGCCAAACTCATCCGCCTGACACGCCCAACCGTCCGCAGCAGAACCACACTATAAATGTCGTCTGTTTGC